CAACAAAATTTAAAATGTTATTTTTCGTTTTTTTAATATTCTAAATCCCTTCTTGCTATTTCTAGAAATCAATATACTTAATATGCACTATGTTTCTTCTTTACTTGATATTTGATAATCAATTACATAATTTATATTTCGAATACTAAATATATCACTAATATAATTAATACTATATCAATATGATACATTTTAGATTTGGATATCACTTATAAATTATATTTGAACTAAAAATTTTGGTTTTAATAATATTATAGGTTTTTATCAAATATATCAATAATATACATTATTTTAGGTATATCACCGATGTACTTAAAAGGAAGTATATCACTGATATACTTTATATCAGATATATTATTTATATAACTAATATACAGAATAATAAGTACACATCACTAAAGTATAGAATATGAAGTATATTAGGTATATCACTATTGAATCTTATTCGGATTTTGGTTTAAGTAACATGACAAATTTCTTAATGGTATATCAAATATTTTATTAGTTATATACCTAAAATGAAATTGATATACTTAATATTAGATATTACAATTATATAACTAATATACTAAATACTAAGTATATCAATCATACTAAATATATGAATAATATATTTCATATTAATTATATCGAATATTTTGGTTTAAATAATATTTTGTAGGCTTTTTTTATTAATATATCTAAATATATAAATGGTACACTCATATTTGGTTGATCAACTTGTGAGTTTTTCGCATCTTCAGAAAACGTCCTATTTAGAGTATATTTGACCTTTTTTTTGGTATATTTATAAATTAGAAAAGCTATATATATATATTTTTTTTCAAAAAGTGGTTTTGTTTGTCAAAATTAGAGGCGCATCGTAATTGGGTTGCTGACACGTGGCGAATAGTGGATTCATAAAGTGTTATGATGTAGGGCTGTGATGAACTGGGACCATTCCTGATAATTAACAGAAAGTCCCAAAATGGTCCCGTTTGCGTGCCCCGGATGAATTTCTTTCTTTCCCTTTTTGTCAATTTCCAATAAATTTATATTATTTGTTTAATTTTATCAGATATTAGTGGTCAAGACATCTCACTAGTTAAGATATCTCTATATTTTAGTGGTGTGATATATTCTATACTAAATAATAATAATAAACTTCATTTCACATATATCAAAAATTTCAATGGAATCTTCATTTCAGTAGTACATACATAATTGAGGGGCGGAAAAATGACATCACAGATAATACTTTAATGAATGATTTTTTCGTAAAAACAGTGTGAGCTCATATAAAATTAGGTAAAAATTCAACATCGCCCATCTAAAAAAGGATATTGAATGCGGCTGCTATAACATGGGTGTCGTTATAACCATTTGATGCAAGCTTATATATGGAATAGAATAACCCTATCGTTGTAGTCTCCTCCAATAACTTTGTTCGTGTTTTCAAAGATTTGGATGATGAGGAAGTGAGAGTGGGAGGGGAATAAAGGGAAAGGAAGAGCCCACAGAGTTAGACTTTTTATTGTGAAGAAGAATAAGAGAAAGGTTGTGTTAATGTTAGGTCTAACTTGGCAGAAGGAAAGTGATGAGTGATAACCACCTGAAAGTCACTATCACCAAAATGGCGGTGCCAATTTTTTCCAAACAGAACAATTCTCAGCATATTTTATTTTATTTTCTTAAATCCATGATGTGTGAAGTGATGATTTAAAGTYTCGATTCAATTGAATTATTTATATGGTTATTCACTGACCGCTTTTAAAATTGTGTAAGAATTTTGGAAATAATCAAATCAAGTTTCTTGTTTTGTTTCTGTTTAATTTTTTTTTCTAAACCATAAACAAAAGTATTATTTTATCGTTCTTGACTTATAAAATATATAATAAATATTAGAAATAAATATAGCATAAAAATTTTAATATCTAATTTTAAAAATTTAATTTTTTAGTTTAAAATTTTGGAGAACGAGAAATAAATAAATATTTATGAAACATGTTTTTGTTTCTCTTTTTATTTAAAAGAAAAACAAGAAATCAGAAATAGTTAGCAAACTTAGTTTTTTGTTTTCGTTTAGAAAAGGTGAGGAAAAGAGAAACAATAAATAGAAATTTTACTAATAATGAGCCAACCGTAATACGATGAACTAAACCATAGAGAAATTAATGAAAGTTAGAGGTCGATCAAAATATTTCAAAATTAAAAAAAAAAATATTGGGTACATGAAATTTGGCTAATGTCATGTCACAATTATTTCACCTCATTTTTATTATTTTGAATAAGAGATAACATAAAATTTAATTATATGTTAAAATATCAAATAAAATCAAAAGAATAATGCCAAAATATATGGTATAAATTTGTTTACTAGGAATTATAAGACGAGATGACTAAAATAACTTTGATCTTGAAATAGGGTGATTAGAGAGAAGACTTAGTGTAAATCAAAATGGAAAAGATTTATTACCCGTTAAAAGTTTTTGTCTCTTCGTTTACCATCAACTTTATCCTTATCCTTGTATTGTTAGTTTGATTGTCCTTAACAAAATTGAAAAGATAAGAATTTAACAAAAATTTATAATATATATGGACTACTTCTTAATTTTTCGTACAAATTAATGGTTAGTTTTTAATCCAGACTAACTAAATCATAGCTGAACCCTTGATTACGTTACATATTATTATTATTATTTTGTTGGGATTACTAATTCAAAGAACAAAATCTTATATTTGTAGATTTGATTAAAATAAATAAAAGAAGCTAATGATTGAAATGTAAAAGTAGCTTTTGAAATGGGATTTGACATAGTTGACCAATGATCATTAAAATTTAAAAGCAATTTGACTTTGGCCTAAAGGTGCTTCATGACATCTCTCTTTTGGAATCTGTAACAAACTTATCAATTTTTCTTTTCATTTGCCAAGAGAAAAAGATAAATTCCATTGCGAACTCAATTATAACACCCCAATTCAATTGGAATACAAATTCCAAGACACAAGGCTGAGTATTCTTTAAAGGTTCTTCTTCTTTTAACTGGTAGCACTTTTTTGGGTACATTCTGAAGCATAATCTTTTCAATATCGAGTATGTTTAAACATAGTATCATATCCGTTAGGAGTGGAGGCAAACGATTGGTATATAAAAGTATAAGGGGTGTGTAGATTCGGAATCGTACGGTCTTTGAAAAGATAAACAATATTTTGACCGATTGAACTATACCCGTGTCAAAATATATATATGAAACATATATAATGAAAGTAGGGGATGGGGGGTTATGAGTTTAATAGGCCAAAGTGAGAGTGGGTTTAGTTTTGGGCCAAATCTTGGTAATATTGGGAAAGCCAATCCTGAATGATGTTGAGCTGCTGCTTTCTCACATCTTTCAGCCATTTTGGGTCTTCAGGAGTTGAGAATCTCAAGTCTACGTGATGAGCCCCTGTTTCATTTACCAATTTCAAATAAAATTTTAATTCCTAAACACTCCCTCCGCTTCTAAATTTGTAACAATTTAATCCTTAAACTTTAAAATGAGACAATTTAATTCATCTAATGTAAGTGGGAATAAATCTATACAAATTAATCAAGGGACTAAGTATATGTTCTGGTCTTTTTTTAGTCCCTATTGGTTAAAAAGTTCCATTTTAGTCTTAATTATGGTTTAACGATTTTCAATTTAGCCTCTTAATTATCGTTTAACAATTTTCAATTTAGTCTTTCAATGTTGATGAATATTAAAATCGGCCGACGATATAAAATTTTACATGACATAATACTTAGTGAACCCGTGGAACAGTAGTCCAAAAAATAGTAATTAACATAAAAAAAACTTGAAACTTCTCCAAATTTCTAGAAAATTTTCTCCCTGAACCTGACTTTTTTTTTTCTCCTCTATATTTCTACCAATTTACTAAGATAAGTTTATCATCGGCCAACCTTAACATTTATCTACAATGATGGGCTAAATTGAAAAATGTTGAAATATAATTAAGAGACTAAATTGGAACCTAGTAAACCGTTGAAACACATCCACATTTGGTCTGCCTTGCCTTGGTTAAAACATTAGAAGTTAAAATAGTAAAAATATATTTGATGTAAATGAATGCTAACCTTCTTTTGCTACTATAGCTATTATGCTTGAGGATATGTTTTTCAGGACCCTGTAGGAGATATCAAAAGAAAAGAAATGTTGAACATTATATTATGTTTAAGCCAAGCTCCATTAATATTGCAACTAAAATTAAATAAAATCTGCCATAAGATGAGAGAGAGAGAGTACCCTCCTGCACTCCAAGGATCTCTCAAGCCATTGAAGAAGATTATGTTGCTTCCAAACCTCTTCAAAACTCTCTCAATCTTCTGCATATCAATCACTCAAAACTCATTTATAGGTAATTTTAGTTTGGAATCTAGATTGAAGAATTCAAAGGAAATCTAATTTTTCACAAGTCTAATGAAATTAATTGTGATTCTGAGATATTTTTAAGTTGTGAAAATTGGATCAAGTTCAGTCATCCGATTAAGGCACAAATTAACATTTTGTGAGGTTAAAATTCCTACCTAGTTTTTCACTACTTAGCCCCTAATCTCCGGTTAAATTGGGATTGGTTAAGGAAAGTTTTTTCATCTAATTATTTTTTTAGGATGAAGAACTTCTCTCCCTAGAGATTGACGGAAAACGATAGAAAAAATAAATTTTTTGTTTTTTTTTTTCGAAAAAATGTAAATTGAGAATTCTTTTAAAAGTGATAAGTAGTAAGATAGCTGTTCATAAGTTTAAGACAAAAAAAGTACTAGACATATTTTCCCAAGGGACCCGACCCATAAACTAAGTAAGGAATAAGGATTATTCACCGACTCGGACTCAGATATCGACTCTCCTATACCAAATAAAAGGATGGAGACGAAGAAGAATGCATGTGAGATTTGACATTCAATCGTGGTGGTGTGATGTTGATGAGAAATATATGTATAGATTATACGAACATGGCCTCCAAAGTGTGTGGTGATCCAAGTACGGCGAGGCTCCACGCCAAATAAGCGTTTACAGAAACTGAGTCGATCTCCATAGCTCCATTTTGAAGCTGGAAATATGCTGTCCTTCGTGTTCCCTCCGGTTGGTAATATCATTTCCGTACACGCCTGACCAAAAACAGAGCACACAATTTTGGATATATGGCTTAAGAATAATGGGCCATGGCCATGGGGGGCCTTCAATGAAATGAAATCACTCAACATCACACCACCAACCAACTCAATTAATTCATGCTCTTGCTCATCATGTCACATAAACTCAACTCTCTCATGAATTTTGATGTTTTTGATTTAGCCTAGGTTGTTTAAAATGTTTTAATTTAGTATGGTTTCCACGTTGATGTGTTAAGTTTGGTTGATGGTAAGTTTAACTATTATAATACTTTGTGAGTTGACATAAATTATTTTTTATGAAGGAATTTTCTTAACTTTTCTAACTCATCCTCCAAATTGATGAGAAAGTTGTTGACAATTTAGTTTGATTTCTTTCTTGTTACTAGGTATCATGTCACACGTAAGTCTTTACCATAAAAAAAAAAAAGAAATTATATATATATATATATATATTTAACATCCACTATAGAAAGTGATATAATTGAAAAATGTTAAAATTATGTGAGAAGACAAATTTCAACTTTTCAAACAATATTAACTAAATTGAGAAAACACACCCCCAAACACAGTAGTATGAACTAGAACATATATTTAGCATATTTTTTAAACTCTCGTTTTTAAAATTTTATATATATATATATATTTTAAAATTTATGATAAAATAAAATTTAATACTTCATTTCTCTAAATTTTTTGTCCCACGTAGAAATTGGATTTCGTTAATTTTTTGGTTATACTCTCTCCACGGTGGATGTTAAATATGGCAGATGATAAACTTACTCCATATATGATGTTTAGTGAGTTAATTAGCACAAATTAAGAAGAGGAATAAGTAAAAATTTCTAATTTATCTGAAAGTTGCTAAGAAATTTCAATTTTTTTCCCTCTAAAATTTTCTTATTTACGAAGTATTAGGCTACGTAAACTTATCATAAGTCATGTTTAATATTGAATAACGAAAATGATATAACTGAAAAATGTTAAAATGTAAGGAATTAAATTCTATGAAATAATAAGGGCTAAATTGAAAAAATACCTGAGTAATGAGAACAAGCTTAAAATACTATTTGGTCCTTGTACCTTTAACTGGAGTTCATTGTGGTTACTGTAGTTTCAAAATGTTCCTTTTTGTCCCACATTTTAGAAGGGTGATCATTTTGGTATTTATTTGCAAAATGTTAATATAAATTTTACACAACGAAAACTCTTGAATATAAAATCATTGTTACATTTCAAAAAATGTATTGAGCGTAGTATCGCGTTGAAATTATGATAGAAAAAATGATATTAAAAATAAAATCAAAAGATCAAAATAGTCACTTTTAAATATACATGAACAAAAATAAATACTTTAAAAATATAGCCACTAAAATAAACTAGAATGGAAAGTAAAATAGATCAAAATAAATATTAAACATAAAGATCAAGTTAAAATTTATTTTAACTTACGCACTAAAACATATAAACATATATTTTATTTACTTGTTTAAGTAATTTATTTAAAATTAGAATTTCAGTGGGATTTCTTTCATATGAAAACTTGTTAAGATCTACTCTCTCATGAGGTAAATAATTTCTCTATCTCATGCCCCATTTTGTTATACCAAGACAATCCTCAGTTAAACAAAGTTTAAAATGAAATAAAAAAATCAAGATGAAAAAAATCTTAAAAAAAAAAATAATAAAAGCTTTCCTTCTACTTCAAAGACAGTGTAATCTAAAGCTTTTCTTTTTCCAAAAAGAAAAGAAGTGTTGGCGATAGGTTGCGTAAACTCTAATTTTGAATCAATATTTTGACCAATTTGAAGCTTTTTGACATCGGATACACCAAACATCACATCATTTCCATCATATACTTGTCCTTATCCTTGCCAATTCCTAATTTACGTATTAAATCTTACAACTATGTCGTTTTTCAATAATATTTTAAAATTTCTAAGGAAGATTTAAATATTATTTTGATATCTTCGTTTTTTATTTTGATCTCATTTCTTTTAATAATAATTTTAATATTGTCATTTACTTACTAAACTTTTTAAAATGTAATCATAAATTTGTATTAAAATTTTATAAATAGAAACTAAATTGATATTTAAAAAAAACGCATGATAAAACATACATCTAGAAAGTACTAAAACTAAAACAAACAAAATTGAAAGATATATAAAAACCAAACTCCAATAACTAAAATGAATCAAAGTAAAAAATATACGAATCAAAATAGTACTGGAACAAGTTACATAATAATTACAAAACATTTTTTAATTTGATATTTTAATATTGAATATCCACTTAAAAACTCCAACTAACCTAAGCAATTTATTTTTCTTTTTTTAGAAAAAATCTCACGTATCCATTTTTTCTTTTTTGTTCTTGCAACAATTTATGTATTAATGTTATTTTAACATTTGAAAAATCCAACTAAAAAATAAAAGAAACACAAGTGAAGTCCCCAAATGATATTATTTAGATTTGAAAAGCTTCGTAAATAATTACCTGCCAAGTCCAATCTCCAAGATCGTGAGGATCCGAGTCATCGTCAAGATCAAAACACGTGGCAGTCCCACTGTAGTTATAGTAGACGTTAGCCGCACCATACAACTTCGCAAATGTGTCGTTCCCAGCCGTCGGATCGTCAATCGCCTTGCACATCTGCACCGTCCCCACAACACCTTTTTCTCTTTCATCATTATTTTCTCATTCAATCATATGAATTTGCAATTTGGGTTTTTAATAATAAAAACAAAGCGAGAGAGGAATTAGCATTAGCAAGGAATTTTAATAATATTTTCTTACCTGTTTAACTGGATAAGCTGGCAGCGGATTTAAAAAATTCCCGGCCGTCGGATAATCTGTCATCGCCGTGTATAAAATTGCAGTATACAGCCAACTTTTAATCGTTTCAGAGTCAGCCTGTCTGAATATATCCTATAATCTATATTAATATAAATTTAACTATCTAATACATTTTTATACAAAACTTCAAAAATGCCTTAAATTTTAAACTTTAGAAAATATTTAATAAGGTCTTAATTTTCAATTTTATATCTAATATATTCTTATCATATTTACCTACTTTTAAATCTTAATTAATAGCTCATAGATTTATTGGACATTTTTTTGGGATCTATACCTTGAAATTTCATACACTACAGCAATTTAATCAAATAAAATGAGTATTAAATAGCGAATAAACTTACTTGCAAAATTTGAATGAGTTGCGAAGCATCTCGGGGCCTCCTGGTTTATTTGCTGCAATTTCAATCTGCTGCCATGAATCTTTAATCACTGTGTAGCAATTCTGGCTCTCACTCTGCAATCACATTATTCAAGTAAATTAAATTATCAAAATAAAGCAGTCCTTGTGATACTAATTATTAAATATTATTGTGGTTTTATTATAGTTGTTTGGTTATTTGTGTCGCAATATTGTTGGCATCTTTCTTGTTAATTTTATTTGCCTTTATAGAAAAGGACCACAAGGCATGTGGGGTTGTCCTTACTTGGATGAAAGATGATGTTTAATAACTATGGTCTTTGCTTTCAATCTCACCCCTCAGCATGAACATTATGATTAATGGAGGACCACATTTTATGTTTCCTTCTTTTTAAGTTTACTTTGCACTTTCCTTTCTCAATTTAGGTTGATTTCCATCCCTTCAATAAAGTTAGTGTTTCTTGCAGTGCTGACCATCAGCCGATCTGGGTTGCTTTTCGTCCAAAACCAATGACTTATCTACAGAAATTGACGTTGACCGAACCAAACTGGTTCGGTCGATTAGTTTGTCGAGAAACCGACAATGCTATTTTTTTCAATTTTTTTTTTTATTTATTTCCATCTTTTTCATTATTACTATTCAATTTCTCAATTTCTCTTGTATAACCTGTTTTTCATTATTGTTTACATTCAAGGGTTCAAATTCTCTTCCTTATAGGGAGGGGTGAGGGGTGAGGTTTCAAATCCAATGTCTAAAAGCATAAAATAAACTAAAAAATAAAAAATAAATTTAATGGATATATTATTGTCGGTCAATAGGTCGGAATTCGGGGGTACATGATCGCCGACCGATTTGTTGGTTCTAAAAAATCAGAATTGACAACCAAACGATCAAGGAACCGAACTGATCGGTCGGTTCGAGTCGATCAGATCGATATCTTTGCTCACCCCTAATTTCATTTAACCTTAAAATTATAAATTAGGAGAGTGTGGAGGAGGAAGTAATAACCTTGAAATCTTGGGTGATGACATTGTTGAAGGCATAAGGAGAAGTGATGTTTTCAAAGTGGAGGATGGGAGCAGATGATGCTACAGCTCCTATGCTAATGTGAGGGTATTTCAACCTAAACCATGCTGCCAGCACTGCCATGCCCCCACAAAATTACCAAATTAAATGTATAATAGTCATAAATAATAATAATAATAATAAAACCACCACTCATCAATTAATACATAGTTACTTAAAAATGATTGTTCAATTACTTTTCAACAGCCAACCAACACCCACATATCTCAACCGTCAAAATATCTACTCTTTTTTTTTTTTTAAATAGGTGGGTCAAATTTGTATGTGTGCTAAAAACAAAAAGTTTTCAAGATTTTATTGAATGGGATTTACTCAAAATTACGAAATTAAAAGGTTAAATTACAAGTTTAATTTTTGAACTTTGAAACTTGTGTTTAATAGGTTATTGAGAAGTTTCTAATAGGTCCTGAGACTTTTAATTTAATTTAATGTCTAATAAGTCTCTAAACTTTCAATGTATGTCTAATAGATCATTGGCCTATTCGGCATTTTCTTAAATTTACAGATCTACTAGACAAAAAAAATTGAAAGTTTAGGATCTTATTAAACATGGAATTCAATTTTATGTCTAATAGATTGGTTAACTTTAATTTTCTTTTAATATATTAGGAATTTTGTTAGACACAATCCAAAGTTCAAGAACTTATTAAACACACTTTTAAAATTTAGGGACGCATTAGACATAAATTTAAAGATTTAAGGATCCATTAGATATTTTTAAAGTGTAGGAACCATCCGGTACAAACCTAAAAGTTCAACAAAATTTGCAATTTGCAATTTAACTAAAGTTATATTTTAATTTAGTGTGAAGGAAGATTTTAAGGAGTAAAAAAATATATATATATATATTTTTTGGTAAATTATTAAACTTCTAAAATCCATTAAGTTTTACAAATTAAAAACCCTGAAATAAAATACCATAATCTAGACATATCACAGCAACTCAAGTTTTCCATTCTAGGCTATAGAAATTTGGATTTTTCGAACTTCGTAAGCACAAATTTTAATAGTTATTAAAATTACTGTTTGAGAATACTGATTTCATATAAATTAATAAATTGTTGCCACTTTTTCAAATAAATGTACACTATGGAGTATCACTTGATTATTCTCACCTTCTTGAAATAGAATCTTAATTTTCTAATATCATATAATATATAGTTTGATTGAAAACGAAGTGGACGGGAAAAAAAATGGTTGTCGTTGTCAAATAATGTTATACAATAATCATTTCTAAATTGACCAATCAGCCAATTAAAAGTCAGCTCTATTTCTCAATGAATATAATTTTAAAACTTTGGCCATCTGATTTGGAGTTGATTTCTATTTGGTCAATAAATCTAAAAAAATCATCCTTTTTAGTCTTTGATATTAATTTAATATCAATTTGATTCTTGAAGTTTCTAAAGTGCAGTTCATACGAGATTTTCTATTTTTTTTTTGTCTAAATAATATTGTGACATCATCATTTCATTAGATCAACTAATGGTCTACTCCACTCAAAGACCAATTAAAAACCAAATTCAAACGTTAGGGATCAATTTAAAATTATCAATCTCAAACCTCAGTGACCAATCAAAAATTAAATTCAAACTTCAGACAGCTAATATGTCATTTCTAAAACGTAAGGATCAAATAGAAACTAAATTTATATCTTAAGTAATGGTCTTTTAAATTCAGGAAACAAATACAAACCTAAATCTAAAGGTTTGGATCTAAAAATGTGTTTTACCCCATGTAAAATTAAGCAAATAAATAAATAATAGCTATATACCTTGTGATTTTGTGAGAGATTAAATTAGAAAATATAAAGACTGATTTAAAACGTTTTAATTCTTATGAAAAAAAAACTTCGAAACAGCCATAGAAAAAAGAATCAAGAAACTGGAAAATTTTGGGAACGGCGATGGACTTACTTCCTCCATAAGAGCCGCCGAAGACGACGACCGGCGAATCAACCGCCGTCAAATTAATCTTCAAGTCGGTGATGAGAGTCGCATAATCCGCCAACGCCTGCGTGGAGCTTAAAAATCCAAGCGTACTCGAATTACGATTGGCCACATCTTCGTCTCCCCCAAACGGAATCGATTTCCCGTAAAACCTATGCTACAAAATCGATTCCGCCAATCACTCCGATCGATTATTCACAACAATCGATTATTCGGGACAAGAAATTGCAGAAACAACGAATAGATAAAAAATTAGGGCGAAATTGAGATCGTACCTCGATGAAAACGACGAGAGCTCGGAAACGCGGCGCGGATTCAAGAATTAAACCAGTGTTCTGCGCGAACCACTCGATATTGCCTTCGTTGCCGGTGTAAACGAAGATCGGAGCGTTCTCGGCGGCGCCGCCCCAATAGGTGTCGTTGATGAGGTACCTCTGCTGAAACGTGTGGTAGCTTTGGGGATTGAAGTTGAAGTGATCGAGGATCTGAGTGAAGTAGTTGGTTCGGTAGAGGCGATTTTGGCCGGAATCGTCGATGGAGGATTTTTCTTCGGGGCGGAGGAGGAGCGAGGGAGGGGCAAAATTGGAAAAAGAAGAAGTGAAATGGAGGAAAATGAAGAGGAAAAAAGGAAGAAAAGTTGATGGAGACACCATTGTTGCAGTGAGTGAGGTGCGTGGGGGCGCGGCTCTGTGCGCCAACTGCCATGTGCGGTTGAAATAGGGAACACAAATGACAAAGATAAGCGTGTCTTCATTTGGCCGTGAGACTTGAGAGAAAGAGAGGGAATCTCAAAAGTATCATTTTAGTCCTTTTTTTATATAATTTTTTTCTATTATTTTCTCGATTTAAAAAGTTCAATTTCGTTCAAAAATTTAAACTCGAACTTTACTAGTAACTAAAAAAAAAATGTCTTCAGAGTGCAACTTGATCACTTAGAACTTTGATGTTCAAGTCAATAGATCATCTGAACTATGTTCTCCCGATGAACAATTAGATTTGTGTACATAAGTGTGGAGCGGAGTCTTTCTCTATAAGTGTTGATATGTGGGTCAAACTCAACAATCATTAAATACGACCACAATATTTGAAGCGTAAAATCTGTGGTGGTTGGTAAGCAGTTGAGAATAGTTTCATCTATACTTCGGTTGGGGCTTTACTAAAGTGAAGCTCTAAAGTATGATTTATCGACTTTGATATATGAGGTGCTAATACTTCGGATATTAATAACATTTTTTCTCCTGCTACGTGGAAAGTCGCTTTATGCTATCCAACATATGTCACATTTAACGTGTGTGGTAATAACTTGAAATGATATACACAATATGTAAAGTTTAACGAAATTATAGACACCAAATTAATTTCTTTAAAAAAATTATGGGGATAAAGGTGTGAGTTTAACTTACTATTTTTTTTATACATGAATTATTTGGATTGATGTTAATTTTATTTCATTTAACCAATTATTAATAATTAGATAGATTTTATTGTCTACTTACACATAACTTGGTTAGAACATATATTATGATTGGAAGTTCGAATCTCCTACCACTGTGTTATTAAACTTAAAAAAAGAAAAAAGAAAAAGGAAAAATAGGCTCTATTAATATTATTTACTATTAAAAATAAATTACGTGAGAAAGCAAACTATTACTAGTAAGCAGACAAGTTTCGAAACATTTATAAAAAAAGAATAACATTAAAACTCTATTTTTAAAGTTTCTTATGTTTCAATTGTAAAATACTTTTTGACCATGCATCAAAATATCAAGATAAATTTTAAAAATATTTTTTTACTCTTAAGTTATATCAAACTGATAACTAGATAAAGTGCTAACTATCTAAATATATTTAAGCACTTTAAACCATATAGTTAGATATAAATATTACCAACTCAAAAGTTTATTATATTTTAATTTTTATACAGTTAATAACAACACATAATAAAATTTAACACATTTCCTTTGCAACTTAATATTTATTTATTTCAACTTCTTAATACACAATATTTAAATTGTATCCTCTACATATAAAACAATTAACAATATAATAACAACAAAAATTAAAATGACCATTTTTTTTAAGAAATTAAGTTACCAATGTGAGAGTTAAATTTATTTTTTATTTTACAAATAGATATTCTTAAAAATATAAACATACATTTTCTTAAAAAAAATTATTAGAATCAATGAAAAATTATGATTTATGATATGGTAAAATATTTGTGTTATAATATTCATATTATATAATTTATATCCACATCACTTGAAAACTTAAAAATAATATATTCTTTCATTAAATATGATAACGATATTACCAACAATATTATATCGGTTGTTATGGATGATTTTCTACAATTCAGATTCTCTTTATTTAACGAATTCAAATGGAAGATATCTTGATGGCTTATGATTCTGATATCCTATATTCAAGATATATTGATTGCCTCAAGATTCTCCCAATATTTCTTAGATGTATCAAGATTCGAATTCCACAATCGTTAGAGAGATCAGAATTGAACTCCTAGGAAGTAAGCCAAACCCTAAAGGGAGGCTCACAACACTCTACGTTTTATACTCAACTACTCTGATTCTGACTTAAGCATCGGAGCCTGTGTGGTAAGAGCACACCGATCTTTAGTATTATTCTGTTTAGCAGGTCTCGTTGATCCTTTATTCTAGAAGATTGGTGCGAATTTGGCGGAATCCCAAGCCAAATTTATGCATCAACATCGGTGTAGAGTAACAATTAGATACGTGATGTATTAATTAATTTTTAAAAACAATATGATTGATTATTTTTCTTATTATTCTAATATATATATAAAAACCGGTGAGTCAAACTAATCCTTTGATCATTCAAAAGAAAAATTAAGTCAAAATATTTTCTATAATTTCTAAGTTTGAAGATTTGAAGGCGAGATGGGCCCTCGTGGAAAGGTTGTCATATATATATAAAACGATATTTTAAATTTTTTTAATAAAATATCTCTTAAAAAATCTTTAAATTGAAAAGTTATATGTAAGAATATAAATTTTTTATTGCTGATGAAAATTTTTGTTTACATCTATGATATTACTCGAAGACTATTAAAACTAGGTGTTCTGAAGGTTTGGTTCCATTTTAGATTAAATTGGTAATTAAATTGTGACGATTTATTTTTATAAATATAATCAAACCAAGCTAATGAATCATAAATCCCGAATTTAACAACTTGGTTTAATTTCTTAGATTTTAGACTAATCTAAACATAATTTAATAGACAAAATACCTATCATACTTACCATGCCTGAGATAAAATGTTTCATTTATCATCTCTATATTTGTTGAATTAAAAGGAAGAAAAAAAATTCTAGATTTTAGGCTTATTAAGCTTTATTCTATCATTTGAAATTAAATTTCAAAGTTGATTTGAGCATAGCTAAAAAGAATAAATACACTTGTTACTTTTTTTAAGATTAATCGTCTCACCTTTCACTTCTGTATTTGTTGAACTAAAAGAAAAAAAAAATAATCGAAATTCTCAGCTTGATTAACCTTCACCCTACCATAAATTTCAGAGCCAATTTGAACATAATTCACGTGGATAAAGCAGTTATTACATTCCTTAAGATTAATGGTTCGACCTCTCACCTCTGCATTTGTTGAAAAAAAAATTTAATTTCAGTAAAATACTATAAATTTTAACGATTTCTAGACCTAGTAAATATAACATTTATTTTTTATCAGATTGTTGCTTTTTGTTTCATCTTCAATGTGTTCGTATAATTTTGGTTCTTGAACTGAATTTCACTTTTTTTTTTACGACTTCATATTTCATCTCTATTATTGGAATCTCTATGTCTATTTCAAATATGATGTGAATGGGTTAAGAAACACAAATTAGCATTCTCATTATATCTTTGTTGTTATAGATTTTGTGTATGATTTTGCTTTTTGTTGTGTTTTAATTCCTATTTATTTTTCATTTTTCATTGTTTTGTAGTCTACCATCATAAACATATTTAAAATTTTAGTTAAATAAGGAAAAGTAAAACATGGTCCTAAAAAAGTGTATGGCTACATTATTGTAGTGACAAGAACAAGACGATTCTAAAGATTTCAAACTGTCAGAACTTTAATTCCAAAATTTTGGTCGGCAATATATTATTTCTGAATAGCCTAATTAAGTGATCTTCATAACTAGGTCCTTGCTTTTTGTGGGTGTTAATTATTTGAGCTGGATATCCATTGATCTTACAAATTAAAAATTAAAAATTAAAAAAAAAATAGTGGTAATCTAGTAAGAATTTTATATAAATAACTATGAGAATTACCTATGAATTAAAACCCTATAAAGTTCATGAGATTTCGATTTTGGAATAAGGTTTATGGGTTATATTAAATAAAATGTATTCCTGTAAAGATTTAAAATAAAAAAAACAAAAAGAAAAAAGGAAAAAAAAGGGAAAGACCCATTTTTAATCTTTTACTTGTGATCCATGAAATGTCGAAGTCCACAATTTGAGAAAATGTCTTGAAAATGTCAACATCAATAAAAATTTCTTAGAAAAATAAAGAAATTCAGGTTTTTTAAAGTAACATATAAACCTTCTACCACTTTTTTAATAAGTTAAAAAGATCTTATTATTAATAAAATGTTCATAAATATATTTTTTTTAGCACAGCAAATGAGAATTGAAATTCGAACTTGTTCGTCAAAGACAAATATCAAATTACCACTTAACTAAATTCATGTTGGTCATAAAAGTGATATTTTGTTGATATTTTCCAGCTTGCAGTTTCATTGCACCCTTTTTTTTTTGTTGATGTTGAACTCATGAACGTATTATAAAAATCAGTATTTACATCGGTAGAAATTTAATGTCGAGAAGTATGCATTCATGTGCATTACCATTTATGATTTATCTTTTTTGCATATATATTGTATTTACCACCTAAATGTAAGTTTCTTCGAAATTTATTCTTCAAAACAATAAACAATCAAAGAATAATTTAACGCACTTAAACTTACCAACATTGTCTCTCCTCCGTGCTTAATAGTAAGTTGAATGAGTTGAAAAATCAACACCTACAACTTAGGTTTTAGTATGCAAATTTATGGCACTATATAGCCAAATCATTTTCAATGGGCACACTACGTGTTAAGTGCAAAAAGACACTACAAACTTTATTATGCCAAAATCTAAATATTAAATCAACAATACTTGAAATAATTTGTTTAGACATAAAGATAGATAGCTAAATATAGCATAATAATTATTTTAAAGGAAAAAGTTGCCAATATACATTCTCTACACGATCCTATTTTGTTGATCTGTTCAAATATTCGTTCCCTTTTCTCATTTTCCCTTTTGCTTTTCCTACGAAAACAAACAAAATTCACCAAGTCAAGTTGACTGAACTTGCTTCGTAGACAAGGTTCATTCCGTAGCATGCTTCGGACGAAGTTGGAGAACAGCTGGTTCAACATCCACTAGAAAAAGATAATCCACTTCAGATAGCCACATCTCTACATAGTAGCGTGAAGAATAGCTAAATGGTATGACTAAAACAGACATAATCGTTGGAACGACCACGAAAAACATAGCATGGTACTAACTTTTCACTTACAAAATTACCATTTAAGACTCTCTTCTCTAAGAATATTGATGGAGAAGAGGGTAAATTAATAAGAAAATAGGAGTTAGGGGCATGGTGTTTGAAGTGTCCTTAATTATTGCCTAGAGCACCACCACTCATCATTAGAGCACTTATTAACCCCAAAAGCTAACTCTATTTTTTATTCACCAACCCACCACCTGATTTCCCCTCCTTTTCTTTTATTCAATTTTTTCCGGCCTTCATCCCTTTTAATTTATCAATTTTATATAACTTATATCATTTCAAGAGAAAATAAAGTTCCAACTGATTAATAAATATGTCGTTGACCAAAAGGTTGAAAGTTCGTAACTTTATTTTGCATATTTTTAAATTCAAAAAAAGGGAAAAAAAAAGTCATTTTGGTTATAGATGATCCTCTACGTGGCAAGAAGAAAAAAAGCCTTCAGAAAAATAAAGATCAAATCTACTACCTTAAATCTTAGTAGAATTTCGAGAGTAGTCGAAGTCTTGCCAATGAACCATGCTAACTATCATCCGAAATGAGCCCCAAAACCTTTCAAATTCCTTTTATTTAAGGCATTCAAAAGGGAATAAATTTTGATGGTTTAAGAGGTAGAAGAAGATATATTTAGAAGGAAAAGATATATGATGGCCTCAAGATTCTCTATAGAAGGAAAATATTCATAGTCGAGGTAGGCTACAGATCTCTACTCTTTGCTATGCAAAAACACCTTATTCTTCTTCTTATTCGACTTATTCGATTTTGACTTAAGCATTGGAGCCTATATGGTGAGAGTCACACCGATCTTTAGTGCTCTTCTATTTGGCATATCTCGTCGTCCTTTTATTCTACAAGATTAATGCGAATTTGACGTAATTCCAAGAGACCAAATTTCTGCATCAAGAATACTCATGTTATAAGTAAGAGAACCAGTCTCATATTTAGGTCCGTGCATGATTGATAGTTTGCCATCTTCATAATGTATCTCGTGACATTTAGTTTTCACGCAAGAACACTATTAATAAAAGTTAAGTTTGGTTTTGATAAATGTTAGGGAGGATAAAATAGAGAATAACAGAATATAATTGAATTTCGTTTCCTCCCGACCGAATACAAACCTACCAATCTATCTGTAATAAAAAACTTCATAAAAGAAATATAAAATCTAAATCAAATAATATTATTCCTGATCATAAATCTAATTCAAATAATATTGAAAAGTCAATACTAATATAATTCCAACCCTCTCTAAAATTTATCAATTTTTTCCCTTCTCATAACCAAGTTTATAACATATATATTGTTTTAATCGATAAATTCAATTAAAGCATTAAGATCTCCAAGAACACTCAAAGATGAAAACGGATCATGCAAAAATGAAGTTACCATTCCAAATGTAAAATCTCAAATAGCCAAGTTTAGCATACCTCTCTCGTTCAATTTCAATGTATTTATATAAAGACTAGATAACTGTTGGTATGATGAATTCAAATCTACGATTATCTCCGAAACTCTAGGCATGAAATACGTGTTGAGGTTGAAATACGGTTGTATGATTACGTATTTAAACGTTAAGGTCAAATTTGAAAACTTCTATTATGTAGTTGGTTTAGTTCGTTATTTTGTAGTTCGACTTTACAGAACTTACTTCTAAAATTATCCCGTGAGATTACCACGTGCGACTAACGGTCGACTTAGTAATGACGCTTCCTTGAATGAAATTTCACCTTCATCTTATATAAACAATGTGTAAAAGACAACACACGCAAATTTATGAACAGACAGGAAAAAAAAAGGATGGCCTTGGGGTTGGGGGTTGTTTCCTA